CCTGGAACGTCTTATGGAAATAACGAGGGCTTCGTACCCTCTTTTCTCCTTGGTTGTGGGGCTATAAGAAGTCAGGGTGGTTGGATTAAGTGAGTCTTACGGACGACGCCAAAAGGATCATTTGTAATTGGTAGTTATAAACTAGTCATTCTCGTTAATGCGTGATTATAACGACTCACAACCCATAATTAATCCAGTGTCACCTGGAATTATCGGAAACAATCGTCGTAGCGGTATAACAATAAATCAGACATGTAATTCTATGTATTGGGAAAACATCGGGTTTTCCCGGGAAATCAACACTTTTAACTATGTGATGTATACAAGGTTTAACAATTATACACACTTACAAAAACCGACAAGCATACTACAGATCTCCACACTTTTTCTTATATACAATACTTGTTTCAGAAAATATCGGATTTTCTGGGTTTTCAAACTTCACAAAAATCATTATCTTTCAAACATGACTTATGAACTCACCAACATTTCATGTGTTGACGTTTTTCAAAATACTTGTATTCTCAAGTAACAGGTAAATCGAAGAATAGGTATCCAGTGATGTCTTGGTGTTTTGTTTAAATTAGTATCGTACGGTTTAAGTATTGGAAATGTAATGTTCAAACAATGTACCGAATGTAAACAATATCTGTTGTAATATTTCAATGCATGGTGGTGAATGATGTTATGATTCATGTATATTCATTGTGATGGTATTCAATTAAGTCACAATAGCCCTCAGACATTTCCGCCGTCTGGTTCGGGGGTGTGACATATAAGCAATGTTAGTATTTTTTTTTTCTAAGCCAACAGATAATTTGAATCAATTTTAAGTTCAAAAATACTCATTTAAATAGATAGATATAAACCCTTTTTGTTGATTTGATTAGGGTTCTAGCAAGCTGTTTCAGGTTAAAACTTCTTTACATCATCAAATCCATTTATTGTTTAGGAGAATAAAGAGTAAGATTGGAAAATTAAAAAAAAAACTTTGAAGTTAGTGGGAAGAAAGAAATGATACTAGGGAAAACCAAGATCTCAGATCAGTTTCTTGTAGAGAAAAATGTAAAAACTATAATTACTTATTGAACATAAATCCCATATCCACTTCTGAAGTCTATTTCCTGAACGAAGAGTGTGGTTTGAGGCTTAAAATTGAGATCAAGAGTGATGTTTGTAGCTTGAAATTGTTGCTTGCATTGAATGTGCAGTGGCAGCTTCTAAAATCATAGCAAAAAAAGAAAAAAAAGTCCATTGTTGAAATTTAGGGCTTGAAATTGTAGGTTGTCTCTTATCTAAAAAAATATCAAGATCAAGAGTGAGTTTATGGTTTAAAGCAAAGTTAGAGAGTACGATTTAGGGCTCAAAATCATTCCACACACACATTGTCAAAGAAAGATGAAAAATGAAAAAGTAACAAAGAACAACATCAATTCAACACAATATATCAACAAATAAACATATACATCCATTGTCGATGGTTGTTTCAAATTTTCTGAATTTCGGTACATATGAACAAAAAGCTAATAAAGAAAAGATTGAGTACAACGATACACTATCCCACCTACATACCTGCTTCTTCTCGGTTCGCCCTAAGTAGCTTCCAAACTGTGTGACAGTTATGCTTTGTTTCACATTAACCCAAATTAAAGGAAGACTTATGAAACTTGACAAGAAATCCCCCATCATACCTGCAACTTCAAATTATTGCCATCTATGCATTTGCTTTACATTTCAAGATCTGAAATACAAAAATCATAAAGTAAAAGTTCAAGACCCGAAATACAAAATCAAAATCTCGAAGATCACATATCTCCAAATTTGAAATAAAAAAAATAAAAAAAAACAAAATATATCATATTCATATCATAGATCTGAAATAAAAAATTCAAAATCTAATATAAATGCTTTCCAAGATCTAGGGTAACTGCAGGAGGCCAATGAGCGATGTTCATATCTACCAACATAATAATGTCAGACCTAAGATACAAAAAAACCAAACTTAAAAGATTATACATTTCCACATTCGAAAGGATAAAATAAGATACTACAAGCCCTAACATTTTTAGATCTGGAGTACGAAATCAAAGCATCAACGATCCTACAATCACATATATAAAATACGAAAATCAATAGATAAAAGATCTTTCAAGGGGGTCGAGGTGATATGTTGGTCGAAATAAAGGTAGAGGGAAGGTTTGGTGCGGATGGCAGAGATGATAGCAGTGATCGGTGAATTATGTAGCGGTGCAAGCATGTTGCTGTGACGATAACAATGGTGTTGTTCACTGGAGTTTAGCTTTTTAGATCCTGGGCTTGAATAGTTGTTAGGGATGCAAATGATAGTGATGGTAGTGGAGGAAAATGGCGGTGACGCCGGCGGCAAGAATTAGTTCTAGGTTTTTACATTGTGCAGTAAGAAGGTGAAAATAGAGAGTGCAAGAGACGCTTGACAGAAAGGAAACATTTTATAAAGAGGAAAGATTTCAAAATTTTAAACAGAGAAAAGAGCATGAGAGCAAGAAAAAGAAGGGATAAAGGATTTGATATACAAGGGAAGCGGTAGTATCAGTTAACCATACATCGGGGTTAAAGGGGGACTGAGTAAAAAAAAATGTTGGTGACCGCATAATATATTTCAATGCATAAATTTATTATACAAATTGCATACAAAGTTATATTTCTTAAAATTCAGCAAAACATGATAAATGTTTATTAAGGTATATATATATATATATATATATATATATATATATATATATATATATATATATATATATATATATATATATGGTTAGGTTCATGTGAGACGGCTTAATTTTGTGAGACCGTGAGACGCATTTATTTATTTATTATTTTTTTTAAATTTTTTTTAGTTAATTCAAGTTTCGAAAATAATATTTAATTTTTTTTTATTTTTTCATTTATTTTGCATTTTAAAATTATTTTTAGAATATGTACAGTGTAATATTCTATTTAGAATATTTCACGTATTTAAAAAAAATAGAATTTTTTTTTTTTTTTTTAGTTAATTCAAGTTCCGAAAATAATATTTAAAAAAAGAATTTTTATATTTTTCCATTTATTTTGCATTTTAAAATTATTATTTAGAATATGTCAGTGTAATATTCTATTTAGAATATTTCACGTATTTTTCAAAAAAAAAAAAACGGGATATTTTTTTATTTTTTTTAATTTTTTTAAATTTTTTTTAGTTAATTCAAGTTCCGAAAATAATATTTAAAACAAGAATTTTTGGATTTTTCCATTTATTTTGCATTTTAAAATTATTTTTAGATTTGGTCTAACGGTCTCACAAAATTAAAATGGTTTCAAATAAACCTGAACATATATATATATATATATATATATATATATATATATATATATATATATAATATATATATATATATATATATATATATATATATATATATATATATATATATATATATATATATATATATATATATATATATATATATATAGGGAAAAGTGAATATACCCTTAAGGGTATATAAGCTTAGGTACCCAAACCCACTATAATTAGTTGTTTTGTTTGATATATTCATTATAATGTTATTAAACTTCAACCTTAACTTGAATTACTTTGAAAATTTTCGAAATTTCACTATTGTTTTCTTCTTGTATCACATCTTTTTGCCGAACACTTATTAGGTTATATATATTAGAGTTGAAAATGAAAATTATGTAAGAGGAAGCTAAATGTGAAATTTATAAAAATCTTAGAAGTAAATCAAGTTAGAAGTTGAATTATAAGAACATTGGACAATTACAATGTATACATATGATATAAACAACATAGTATGGTGACTTTGGGTACTTAAGCTTATATACCCTTAATGGTATATTCACTTTTCGCATATATATATATATATATATATATATATATATATATATATATATATATATATATATATATATATATATATATATATATATATATATATATATATATTCCTTTCGTTGTCATTTTAATATACAGTTGTGTGTGTTGGATTGATAGTTGTGTTACTTGCCCTGATTGGTTAGAAAATCCAATGTAATCTTTTTGTTTCTAGTCTAGCTTTGTGCTAAAAAAATTTAAACCGTAAAAAGAATTCTATTCTTTTTTTGGTGAATGTTTTAGTAAAGTTATTGGTATTATTTGATTGACTTTACTCAAAGTTATCTAATTATAAATAGAAAAATTCAAATTTGACATCTATAATAATTTTAAAATAAAAGTTGTCCGAATAAAAGATATAGTATGTCATGGTGTATTCTTTTTATATGTATAAAAAACAACACATTATGTCGAGTTTGGTTCACAATAACAAATAACCTAATTATAGATGGAATGTTATATGTTTGGAAAAATATTCCATAAATCTTTTGTTCACAACATTCAATCCTTGGGAAAATCATTTTAATGACATTAATATACCAATAATCAATAATATGAATACAGTATATATAATGATGAATAAATAATTAACAAATTTAAGCATGAAATTACTTTGTCAAGAGACTCTCCTTATATGGTCAATCTTTATAGCTTGAATTAGAGTTTTCAATTCTAAAATCTACTTTGTATCACAGATCGTACATTTGGTTCTCTTTTTGTTCTTGCTACATTCAGCTACAAATAGGGTTCTCTTTGTGAGCTCTTTTTTAACATGTTGGCTTTTGGGCTACTTAAGTGGGCTAAAGAGCAGCACCCTTTCTTATGTTTTGGGCCATGAAAATCAGTATTTTTGGGCCTTTTGGCTATTATAAGAAAGTAAGAAACCACTAGATAGCATAATGGACACGAAGTGTCTATTTAATTGATGAATTTTTGCTCTGTGAAAGGCATGAAATGTTAATTTTGCCAGCCTAAATACACGAAACTTGTTACTTGCTAGTAGTAATAGTCGTAATGTTTGTTTTAATATATTTCGCAGTTTCCAATATTACAATTTTTTTTTCTAATTTATGAATAAAATATAAACTAATATAGACCAAACTTTTTGTTGAATCGAGATCAATGATATGCCATATGCCTCGACAAAAGATGACATGACATTATTTTGGACCTCAAAGATACTCTTAAATGTGTGTTTTTAAACCTATAGATCCTTTAATTTATGTTCTTCTAGTACAATAAAACACCTTAAATATAACACAAAAGTATACATACTGTAGAATGGCATACGATAATCATAGTGGATGATGATTACAAGTCAAGATACAATGGAGTTAACGGTTTAAACACCTCTCTTCCCTTAGTTTCCACCAAGTCTAAATGCTTTTGAAGCAAATGCATATAAACTATCCAATCGCCATTCTTTTTTACACTCGGCATCGGCATAACATATCCAGTTTGCCCACCCCATGGAAAATGATACGACCCAAAATGTGGCTTACCCCATCCAAAGTCAATATTTTCCACAGGAAACCGTTGACCAGATGACACGACTATAGCTTCACCTTCATTCTCTTCCTTTTTCACGTATATCCTTGCACATATTGGCTCGGGTCGATGCAATTCAACCCAATCAATTAGTCCCCTAAAGTGTTCCTCAGTCATCGCAGGACTCATAAACTCATGCACCACGTCAGCAACTCGACTTAGTGACATTTTCTTAAGCTCATCACACTTCGCCTCACCATAAGGGACAGAAAGAACATTTCCAAAGTAGTTTTTCATTGAAAAAGAGTTGGTATAATTTAGCCTTTCTCTCCCATCAACTACAACACCCATCTTGCATGTGTTAAGGTCGTCATCACACTCCGCTATTATCTTCCATAGAAAGGAAATGAATGACACGAGCTTGCTTCTTTTAGGGTTTCCATTTGAACTTGAAATCGATTGAAGGTGATTGATATCTTTTGCATGGATGTAGTATATGCGACTTATGAGAGGATCAAGTGGCAAATGAGATGTTTGTGGAGGGATAGATGATATAGGGTGAAATAGGGTATTGTAGAACGTGTTCATTACAGGTGGACGCCTAGGGTTAACAACTGAACGTCTGAAAGATGGAAGACAAGAGATTTTTTTCGATTGAGCAATTTCAGCCCATGTAGTCAAGAACATGTTTATCGAGTATGCATCGGCTATTCGATGATCAAATGCGCATCCAACTACTAAACCTCCACATTTCAACTCTGTGACCTATTTCATGCAATTAGACGAGATTAATTATGATAAACTTAGCAATTAGCATTTAGCAAGCATTAATTGTAAAGTTGATAACTTTTTTAACTATAAAGAATGTATTAATTATACCTGAACAGAAAGAACCCCTTGTTTTTTAACTGGAACAAGTTTTCCTTCTACAGAATCATCGGGGTGATAGAAATCGATCTTTTTAAGCTCGATATCAACATGGGCATGAATGAAATCCACACCACGGTTGTTACAGAGGAGCTCAGGTTCACCATCGTTGTTGTGAACAACTTCTCCGGCAAACGGGTAAAACGGAGCTAACACTTGTGCGAGTGATTTTTTAATTATTTTGACGCTTTCTTCATGGGGAAGTGATTCCTTGTAGCAGAGAAAAACTCCGACGTCTAATGGCGGAAGAAGAAGGTCAAGGTTTGACATCGGTAGCCAGTGGTCTTGCACTGGCAATGCAGCCACGATGACGTCCGTTTGCTTCACGTCGACTGAGAGAATTCCACAAGAATCCATTGTTAGAGTAGTGAAAGAGAAGCTAAATATTTTTAGATGTATAGAAAATTTGGATGTGGAGCATGATAGAAAAAGGATGGCTTATATAGGAAAATATTAGTCTTGATTAGTATTAATAACTAACAAACCATATTAAATTAAGTGATGGTGTGTCATTGATTGTCCCTCATTTCAACGACCTTTTTTAACTTACATTTTGAACCTCTACTTGCTCCAAACAATAATTTGGATTGAACAATGGCTGCTCCCAATATTCAGCCCCTCCACTTTGCAATTAATATCCACCTCAATGGTGATGTGATGTTTTATATATATATATATATATATATATATATATATATATATATATATATATATATATATATATATATATATATATATATATATATATATATGTGGCTTATATTAAATGAGCTTAAATCAATAAAATTTTAGATTAAATTACACGAATAGTCCCTATGGTTTGGGTAATTTGTGCGTTTGGTCCCTAACTTATTTTTTTTTAACTCGGAAGGTCCCTACTATTTGTTTTTATTACGCGCTTGATCCATACTGTTTGTTTTTGTTACGCGCTTGATCCCTATCTTATCTTAAAAGACTATTATTTAAATATGAAAAAACAGTTTTGTAGGTAAGGTAAGGTGAGGGGGTTGGTTTGGGGGTGTGCTTATTTAATATAATTAAAAAATCAAGGCCAAAATAGTCTTTTTAGGTAAGATAGAGACCAAACGCGTAACAAAAACAAACAATAGGAACCCTTCGAGTTTAAAAAAAAAAGTTAGGGATCAAATGCGCAAATTACACTAAACCATAAGGACCATTCGTGTAATTTACTCAAAATTTTAACTTGATTTTAATTACTAGGTTAATAGGTAGCCTCAACCAAAAAATGATTTTTGTTTTTTATATCGGAAAAGACTAAACAAAAGACGAGGTGAGGAAACCACATGGCCTCATCTGTATTTTCGATGACTATTTTTTGAAAAATATTAATTTTTAGGTATTAAATAAAAAAAAAGTCTACTAAGAAAAATGGTTAAATTTGTAATTCCGGCTTTATCTATGTATATCTAATTATATCTATACTATATGGCGCCTGTTTTGAACGGTTTTATTTTCTATACCTGATTCCCGTGAAATTGAAAGCCGGCCGTTTAAAGAAAGGGTTTTGCATGTCTTCCGGCCTTCCATGACACCTTCGGTGACGTCATGCTGCCGTCTTTTGTCCGTTTGTTGGACATGGGATACGATCTGGATGGAGACCTGATTCTGCTTCATTAATCGAAGCAAGCTCCTTATGATTGAAGAAACGCCACCTGTTGATCAGATCGTTGTCGTTTCTCGATTGCTTACATCGTATTATACATATTTGGTTTGGTCCATTCAATTAAAATACGCTTTGGAATAGGAAGCACCACCTGAATCGCTGAGATTGGAAGCTTCATATTAACACCCCTCTTAAAATTCAGTTCTTCATCTGATTTTTGATGATTGCTGCGCTAAATGTACATTTTAGTTTTCATGGTGGAAGCATTGCTTGATAATTCATGACTTCAAACCAGTATAGATGGATTGGACAAATACAAAACGATTGCCAGTTTCATTTCATTATGTATCTAATTTTGTTCTCACATCCAATATTATACATCAATTTGATTGGGAGTTTTTTTTTGGCTATTAGGTGTTTGATAAAATACTAGCCACATTCAACTCTTTTTAGGATTCTAATGATATTTGGTTGTATCTATTGATTTAGTAGTCTCTATATGCTTTGCCTTTTAGTGTATATATGTTAGCAAGTTCTTTATATCATTCTTTTGAACATTTCCCATATTTTCTTGGTCAAATCTATAAGAAAACTGAATTAGTTTTGCTTTTCAAATATAGTATAATGTATGTTTGTTCAGATTTGACAAGTTATCATGACATATCAGCACTAAATAGTCACAAAACATGTTATGTCACTAAAGATTGACACATAATCATGCAACGACAACGGGTAAATGGGTTGACCGTTCAACTCGTCAACATTGCAAAAAATTAGAAAATTTATGATGCTTTTAGTTGTGGTAAATTGTTTTCATTTTCCAATAAAATGTTTTCAGAAAATAGAGTTGAGTTTTAAATTTTAGTTTTCTATGAAAATCTTAGGAAGCGTGTTTGGTAGGAACGATTGAAAACTTCATTTTCTATTTTAGAAATTTGGAAAACTATAAAAATCACTTTTATAATTTACATACAATTTGAAAAACATAAGGTTGCGTTTAGTTACGGAAAAACAATTTTAATTTCCCATTTTTCGCTTTCTGTTTTCCGTTTTTAATTTTCGTTTTCTGTTTTCAGTTTTCATTGGAAAATTTAGATAACACGTTTAATTAAAATTTATTCATTTTTCATTTTTGGTTTCAGAAAATTAGAAAACGGTTGAGCATATTTTTACAAGGTGCTCGTTCTCAAAGAAGATATGGTCTTGGTTTAGTAATTGGAGTGGCTTACTGCATTGCATTCCCAATAATTATGATGAGCTTAAAAAATTGTTTTGATTTCCTCGGGCATTAATAAGAAGAGACTGAAGCTCAGATTGATGTTAATATATTCGGTGTTGTGGAGTATATGGAGAACTCGCAATGACTTTGTTTTTAAGAAGAAGAGATGTTCGCATCTCAAGACGACAGATGATATTCAAATCCTTGCTTTCAATTGGGTTAAGAATAGATCGAAGTTTAATTCTATCTCGTGGTTTAATTGGTGTATTTCTCCTTTATGCACTTGTAATTTGTAATTCTTTTTTGTGCTAGCCTCTTGCTAGTCTTTAATGCATTTGCCGTTCAAAAAAAAAAAAAATAAATTAGAAAACGTGTTTAAATGTGTATTTTTCTAACGGTTTTTTTTTTTTTTTTTTTTTTTTTTTTATTTTTAGAAAACGATAATAGTGGTAGGGTGTGTGGGGTGGTTGTAGATGTGGTGGTGGCGCCAGTGCTGGGGACGGCGGACGTGGTGGTGTGGATTATGACGATGGTCACGTGTGGTGATGGTGGCGGCAGTGGTGGCGGTGGGGTGGTAGTAGTAGTGGCAGTCGTGACCGGATGGTGGTGGTGGTGGTAGTGATGACTTCAACCAAATGCGTTTTCAAAATTTTCATTTTCATTTGAAAATTTTCATGAAAAATTAGAAAATTTTCTGCAACCAAACTCACTCTTAACACCTAAAATCTAACAAAAATAAAGTAGTGTTAACAACTTTTTTTTTTTTTTTAATTTTTTTTTTTTTTAATTTTTATTTTTTATAATATAGTGCCTTTTGTGCAAAGTATAATGTTTTGTTAAGAAACTATGATTGGGATTTTTCAAGTATAATGTATTCAAACCGTAGACATAATGGACTGATTCTACTCTCTTTTATAGCATCATATAAAGTGTTTTATTGGTTAAAGAGATAAGTACCATGATATTATTGGTTAAAATATCAGTACATTGTTAATCACAGCTCTTAAGCCATTAAGACTAAACCATTTTAACATTATATGTAAGACATTAAAATATTTTCGGAACATTCAAACAACTAAAATAACAATCTAATTTCGGCCAAATCCAACGAAATCATCTTAATGGTGTAAGACGCGAATAATCAAATATTTTTAACTAGGTGTAAGATGCGTATATTATAAGGGTTGATTAAAGAAAAATAATAAATAACAAATGTAAACAATAAGTATTTTCTAAAATAAAATTTCGAAATAAGAAATAAAGAAAGTTATTAATTTCAATTTACTATCACATTTATTATATTTAATAGTTTACATATATAAATATAAAAATTATGTGATTTTTTAATTTTAAAAATTCAAAAACTAAAAAATTAACACATGAATATTATTTATTTTAAAAATATCGTAAAATGATAAGTATTAAAACTCATGAAAGATTGATATGTGACAAAATAAATCTTCATTTGTTATAATAGATTCATTTATTAATTATTACATTAGCTTGTGTGGGATGGTATGTGATAGTCTTTTTTCTGTTTCATGTCCAATGGAATAGGAAAAAATGTTTATTTTACTTTTACCTTGGGTTAAAATTAATAATCGTTTATTTGATAACTACCGTAAATAAAAAGTGTAAACTAGTATTCATTTTTCCAAAAGAGTTTTGTTATGCTGCATGGTTGAAACAAAAACACATACAAAAATGCAAACATAGCATCAACAAATAACATAAAAACTCATGTTCACATCAATGCTTAAAAACGAAATTGCTTACATGAACCATCTATTTGTGTAACGTGCGTCAATCTAAAGAACTATGAACTTGTCACCAAAAAATACCAAAGAAAATAGGCAAAATACATAAACAAACAAACCAGGTAAATGTTAACAATATCCGATTAAGAACATCATTAATGTCATAATGTGTACCAATACATAAGGAGAAAAATATCATAATTAGAAAACAGATGCAAAAACTAGGAACAGAGTATAAGTAAATAATCTTTAATACATCAAAATATATAAACCAAAATTTACCTTGATTTTACTTAATGCCTAGTAGTCTTCTCATTTGACCATTTCCTAGAGAACAAATGTGTGGGTTTTACTAGTTGGAAGCCTTCAGTTGACTCCACTTATGGACTGTGTATTGTTTAATCCAAAGATTTTAAGTGCACATATACCAATTATACTCAATTTTGAGAGATAGGTTAGTGAGATACTCAAAGAATAATTTATATGCGAATACTTACTGAAACGTAATGTAAAACTAATTGAAATCAGATAGCAATCGTTTTTTGCAAAATACCCATAAGGGAAAAAGGAACAATTTTTACAAAAATGTATGTTGATAAAAAAAATATGTTACAAAAGCTAATTGAATTCGCAAATAAGATTATAATAAAAATATGTTTTGTAATTATTTGCAGAAAACAATTTGTATAGCAATGTTTTTGCAGTTAAATGTTTAAAAAGACATTTTTTTTTCTATTGTTTAGTTTTTTATTTATTACTTTAATGGGCAAAATGCGGAAATAGCAATGAATTTTCATTTTATT